GCCTGGTCGTAGGTCCGGGATATCTCGTCGGGAGTCGGTGGCGGTATTCCCTGCTGGATCATTTCCGGCGTGTTGACCGAGTGCAGCAGCGCCTGTGCCGAGCTGAGGGACTGGTGGACCTCGACCCCKAGGTCGGCCCCGATCTCGGCAAATCCGTGCCCCGTCCTGACCGACTTGCAGGAGTGGTTGTCCGGGGGTCCGTTGAGAATGATCGCGTCCGGGGCCAGGACCAGCGGCTGGTTGGTGTGGGCCAGCTTGATTTTCTTGTGCCCGTTGGTGACCGCCATGAGGACGCGGTGGTGGGGGGTCGCGTTGACCCTTCCCGTCGAGCCKGCCCCCACCAGGTTGGTCTGTCCCCCGATGCCCCCGATGCGGACCGTCTGCATCCCGGGGAGTGCCGCGGTGGAGCCGGGGGTGACCGCCAGCTGCTGCTGCGCGGCCAGAAAGGCCGCCTGCGAGGCGTGGGAGTGGTCCTTGTTCCCGGCGTGGGCGTGGGCATGAACCCCGCTCCCTCCGCGGTCCGAGGGCCGCTTGCGCTGGGTCCGGCGCTTCTCGTTGAGGTTCCGCTGGCAGGTAAAGCACAGGCCGCTCCGGAGGTAGAGCGAGGGTGGTTCTTCGGGCTCCGAGTCGTAGAGCAGAACGGGGACCCCGATCTTCTTGCAGGAGACCAGGGGGGCTCCGGGTTCCGGGCCCGAGGGGACCTTTCCGGTGCACTTGGTGACGCCGGCCCCCAGGGGGACGGTGGTGTGGGGGTTCAGCGCCGAGGACTGCAGGTCGTGCTCGGTGGGAACGATCCCGTAGTCGATGATGATGAAGCGCTTTTTCTTGAGGCGGACCATGACCTGTCCGTCGTGGACGCCCTCGATCCCCTCGCGCCGCTGGTAGATGTTTCCGTTGGCCCGGCCCAGGCGGAGGTCCAGGTCCTCGGCGAATTCTTCCAGCGGCAGGCTGACCCGGGAGGCGGGGGCGTGTTCGGGAGCGCCGCCGTGGCTGGTGGAGGGGTTGCTTCCGCCGACGTCGACGCCGACGCCGCCTCCTCCCGCGGAAGCTCCCGCGCTCGGTTCCGGGGCCAGGGGGGCAATCACCGCCGCAGCGAGGGCGGCTCCCGCGGCCTCGGCCGCTGCCACGGGATCGGCGACGGGCTGCGGCGCCGACGCAACGGCTACCACTTGGTGTGGGTTCACTGCGACGGGATCACTCATCTAGTATTGGATTGGATTGGATTSGATTGGATTCGATTGAATTGGAATGCATTGAATTGGATGGCGTATCACATCACATCMCATCCCATCCCATCCCATCGCATCAAATCATGCCATAAATAATATGACAGCAGAGCACACAAAGTTACATAATATAATATATCAAATAATATATCATATCGTATTGCACCACATCGTATTTCATCACACCACATCGTAACGGAATCAAAGACAAAAAAGAGAGGAAACATCACAGATGTGGGTTAGAAAAAACAACACATGCTCTGAGAACCGGGCCGGAGACAAGGGCATGTCAACGGGTGCCGTAAGGCTTCGCTTGGCTGGTGTTTCACTCGTGCACGTCTTGTGCAACAATCGAATCGAATCGAATCGAATCGAATCCATTTGTACCTGCTTGATTTGGATGCATTCAATGGATTGAATTCGAATCGCATGGCATCAAAAGCATTCGATTCCAACCAAGGCATGGTCGAATCGAATCGAATCGAACCGAACCGAACCGAATTGAATCCAATCGAAGCGAATGGCACCACAACAAGCACATCGATACCCCTGGCTGTGTGTTCGGAAAAGACAAGACCCATTCGATCGGAACCGAACCACTGCGTTTCCAAGCCATTGTGCAAAGAGTGAACGCCGACCCGCTCGCTTCGATCGGAATTGAATTCCGTGTCCCCCCGGACCACCACCAAAAGATACGCTGCGTTGCGGTGCGGTGCGGTGCAGCGGGGGAGGGCCGGCATCCCAAGTCCCTTGTTCGGAACGAACCCATCGTCGAGGATTCGATTCGATGCGATGCGATGCGATGCGATGCGATTCGATTCCACTCCACAAAGTAGTGTTGCGAGGAACTTACCGTGCGCGAATGTGCGGGTAGTACGGGATCGTGTCGGATCGTATCTTGGAAGAAATATTATTATCGATAACACTACGGTATGCGGAGGACGGGTGTCAGCCAAATCAGATCCAAACCCAAAAAGACCCCTTCGGTACGGCAGAGCGCAACAGTTTCTTTTCAGCAGAGAGGTGGGTGTCGCTCGCACACATGCGCTGGGTCGAAAGATTGTTTTGTGCGCAGGGAGCGGGTGCGAGTGCGCTTTGAATCTGCGTGCTTTTTTCCTTTTTTCACGCATGTTGTGCGCAGAGAGAGAGCGTTTTTTGGGGGTTTCGAATGGCTTCGGCGCAGGGAGGTACCACCGACGGACGAAATCGATCGATCGATCGATTCCTACCGTACTACCGTACCGTACTTGTACCATACTTTCCTTCCTTCCGTTTGGTTCGTTCTCGGCGTGCCACCACGCAATCGAACGGATCGTATTGCTTGCGCCTGCGCGGAGGGAAGAAAACCCCCCAAAAAAAGAACCCACGCAGCGGTTCGGAGGTGGCTCTCTAACAAGTGGGGGAAGTTGGCGGGTTACAGTACTTTACCGTACCATCGGCAAATCGTACTGCGTAGCGTGCGCAAAGTACCCTGGTTTCTACGGTTCGCTATGCGGTGTGCTGGCACACAAAGAGAACCCAAGGACACCGGCCGAACGAACCATACGAGTCCGTCGGAACATATGTCRCCGACGCGACCAAAACAGAAGAAACGAACACCGCGAGAACAAAGCAAACGGGCGTGCTCGCAGCGCACCATCGATTCGATCGGTGGCCGATCACATGCAATCCTTCGGCTCCGTCCACGAAACGAGAAGCAGGGGCCCCGCCCGGGAGCACGTGCTTTGGGCACGCAAACGATCTATGGTACCGCATTCATTTTCATTGGACAGAACCTAATGGCGCGGTAACCCCCCGGAGAAGAAGAACGCCTCGTCACGGGGTACGCGCCCAAAACAAGTAGCTACGTAATTCTAMTTGGTCCTACTTCCACTTCTTGCCACCAGCATATTAAGGATAAGGCTTTAACGTGATTCACGAGTGACGATCCCGAATGAATAGAATCATCATCATTCATTGTTTCCACCAATCCGGTGCRGCAACTCGTTCAGGAACGATTAGATGTGAGATGTGAGTCTATTGTCTATTGCTTTGTAGGGTACATACGTAAGGTACGTTCGCAGTCTCGAATCAGTGATTTGTGACATTTGTGACTTCTTGAGTCAGATTTTACTACTCCYGCAGCGGAGCGGAGCACGCACTACACGCGAAAAGATTGCTTCGTTTGGACGTCGGTGTGAATTTGAACGTCATTACGGTATTTTGCTGTTTTCATGCGGGGGTTCGTACGGTATGGTACCCAAGTACGTTAAAGTAATAAGTACCGGTATGTTTGTTGTTTGTTGTTTGTTCGGCTTTGGGAACATCGTCGTCCTCCAGATGAAAGAACCACAAGCACAATCAGAATCACTATCGAATTCCCGTCAATTCAATTCAAATCAAAGCAAATCCAATCCAATCCTACAAAAAACCAACGCTGCCTTAGGCAAAGCAACCAAATAGGTACTCCACCACCCCCGTCGTACAGTATCCAATCGAAAACACAAAAAGATCCGCAAAATCACAACAACCACGTACCGTATGAATCCGCAACGCACGCGCAACGTTCCTGCTAGGAGGCAAGCCACGCCGATGGCCGTGCCGGGCACCAACCGCTGTCTCGCTCCGTCTCTGTCCCGGTGGCTGCTCYTTGTGCCGCTGGTGTGTTTGTGTTTCTCCCGTTCCGATGCCTTCGCACCGGTCCCCCCTTGCGCTCCGGGACACGCGGTGGGTCCGGGATCCCGCTCGTCCGCTTCTCGGMATAACAATGCCATCCTTGTCCTCCGGGCCAGCAAGCACAAGGACGTCCCGGGCGTAYACGACGACGACTACAACAACAACGACAACGACGAGGAAGAATTCTTCACGCCGAACAGGACCAGCTCGAGCCCCGGCACCGCTGGGGACCCGAAGACTYCCCTTTCTGCCTCTCCCGGGGGCAGCAACAGCTACAACGACAACTACAACGACAGCTACCTCGACGACCTGACGCCCCCGCCGGTCAACTTTGCCCGCAACTCGATCCTCTTTTCGGAACAGCCCTCCACCAGGGTCCGGAACAACTCCTCCCTGGACGCCTGGAGGTTCGCGAGAAACCACCTCCCGGCGGCGGTCACCGGGGCCTGGCCCTGGAGGGACCAGGAGGCCCTGGAGCAGCGGCCCCTGGCGGCCCTCTACAACGCCGCCTTTGTGCGCCTCCCGGTCCTGGGGGTGGCGGCCTCGTACCTCTACCAAAAGACGGTGGAGGGACACGACCTGGTGATGGACTTTGGCTTTGACGCCACCGGGCCACAGGCGATCCCGCCGGTGGTGGTCCTGGCGGTGCTGGTGCTGATCCTGCTGTAGAATTCCGACGGAATGGAACGGAATGCGATGCGATGGAGGCACGAGCGGACCGTGGTGAAGGTTGCGACTTCAACAAGCCAGGCAGCCAAACCATGGAGCAACGCAACGCAACGCAACGCAACTGAATGGAACAACAATCGAACAACGGCCCCGACCACAAGCGGTTCCAAACTAAAGGATCGGCAACGCAATGCAACCGGGGGGAGCTCCCGTTTTCGACACTCGTCCACGGCACGGCACGGCACCTCGTTGGCTGTTCTGTTCGACTCGCACCAATGGATCGGGGCTTTGCGGAACAGAAGGGACCCGAACGTCCGCGTCGAGTCTTCCATAGAACGAAACGACTGGAGTATAAGTACCCCTCTCGAGAATAGCCGGCCCGATCGATCGATCTCGCGATAGGTTGCTTGCTTTGCTTGCTGTCTGTGTTCCTTCCGTTCGATTGGAGCATGACCTTTTTGTCGCAGGCGTCCCTTGCCACCGCGATCCCACCGTCCGTCTTGCTCGGTTTCGGTTCCAAGCTGCAAGGCACGAAACGTGTGGCCACATTTGCGACTACATAGCGGTAACTAATATTGCGGCAATGGCAAAATCCCACCCTCCCACTACTTTTGTGATCACGCATCATATTGCATCGTGATCACGCATCATATTGCATCATAACAGTATAGAAGTCTCGTCCCGACCAAGCCTTTGTACGTAACAAGTCTCTGTTATAATACTGCGCTATTRTATTATACTATCGCGTTACAATCGTGTTTTTGGCGTCGGACGGCCTTCACACAAACACGGCGTACTTTGCCACCGGCGAGGCGTCCGCGTTGGTCTGGAAGTTGTCCCGGTCCCACTTGCGCTGGGCGTGTTTTTCCTTGCGCTTCAGGTACAGGTTGACCGAGTAGCCGGAGAGGGCGCCGCCGACGACCGTCCCGACCACCGGGAGCAGCATGGTCCCCACCGCGGCGCCCCCCATGACATAGGTTGCYCGGGTGTGCTTCCGGTGGMGCTTCATGGCCAGGGCCTCCGGGTGCTTGCAGGACGTCCCGTCGTCGCCGATCGAGCCGAGGCTCTGGCGGGTGCTGCCAGAGGTGGGCGCTTGGCGTGGATGCTTCGAGCCGTCTTGCTCGCAGAAGACAACCGCTGTGCTTTTCGAGGCCGATTCTCTGCCGGGCAGAACTTCCTCTCGCGATGGGTCTCGGGACAACTCACACGCTGTTCGGTAGTTGTAGTTCTTTCGCAGGAAATCGAGACCGGGATCAAAGACGGCGGTGTTGTAAGCGTTGCCGTCGCTGCTGTCGTCGCTCTCGCTGCTGTTGTACCGCGTGGTTCGAAACAGCGAGGATCCAATCGACGAGGAAATTCCCGGTTCCAACGGACCAGCCTCATCCGCGGAGGTGAAGTGCTCGCCTCGTTCGCGTTCGCTGTCGCTGTCGGCATGGCCGTCCACTCCTGCCACCACCTCAAAATTCGGTTCGTTCGTTTGCTTCGCTTCTTCTCCCGCGGTTATTATTTCCTTCATATCCGATTCGTCTGATATGGTAGTGTTCGAACGCGGACGCAGCGGGAGCTGCTGTTGGAACCGCATAAAATAGGGAGAAGAAGCAGAAGAAGCAGCAAGGTTCGACGATGAGGAAGAAAAGGCAGCACCGCAATCACTCGGGCGGCTGCCACGTACAACCATTGGTGATGTCGATAGGGAAGACGACGACAGCGATTTGTCGGTTGTGCAAATGGTCGTGGCAGTCGCCGTCGTCGTTGTTGTTCGGGTTGTTTCCGAGAAATCCGCTGACGGATTGAAGTTCAAGCGACAGCAGGGAGCGGAGAGATGTCGTGAAGAAGACGGTGATGACAGGGGTGTGTCGTTGCAGCAACGGAAGATGGGGCTTTCTGTGGAGCGGTGGTGTTGAGGGTTGGTGGCCGTGTTCTTGCTTGTGTTTGCATTCCCTCTGTTGTAGCTCTCCGATGGCGCGGCCACTTGCTGCTGATACCGAACGGAACCAACGAACGACTTATTGTCGCCGCCGCCCCCGATGCCAGTAGTGGTGGTCTCTGACTCGATCCTTATAGGGGGGATCGGATGCAGCGTATACATGGTCGGTGCGCAGATACTGTAAGACAAAGTGTTGAGACTTGTGCAAGTATTGCAGTATATTTGCTTGGTGAAGAAGGACGGTGTAGTTTCTATGTCACGGTATGCTAGGCTACGGTACGGTACAGCAGTGCTATTCTGTTTCGGTTTGACTGTGTTGTGAAGAAACCAGTGTGATTGGAGTGGTGGGATATCACTGTTCACGAGGACAAAACTTATTCCCTTTCCACAACAGCAGAAACCTCACTGGTGCTACCGTACGGTATTTCACTAGCTTGCTCTTGACTTGGAAGGAATGAAAAATAAATGTGGCACGTACTTAACCTACCTCCTACCGTATGTTCTTAATTGACGACAGAAGGCTTGTGGATGCAGCAGGGTGTGGAAAAGTGTTTTGGTACCACGGTACGTACCGGTATTCGTATTGTTACTGCTACAGTTATTTCGAAGTCCAAAAATTACGATATTATCAATTGTGTTCGCCTCACAAAAACCCTTCCAGTACAGTTACGTAGGTGCTCGTACGTTCGGCGGGAGAACTATCCGCCAATTTTATCGTTGGGTGTGACAGTAAGCAATAATTTAGAACTAAATGTATAAGCCTTGAGGTCATTAGGTAATTCCAGTCATTCAAATTTAGATATATCCGAATGACTGATTARAGGACAAAGACCAATGATATTTATTATCCTCAGAATCTCTTCTGGTTCGTACTCCTACCGGTTCCTACCGTACGGTACGTACTGATATTATGAAAACAACCAAGCGTCGCTGAATTTTGTCATCTCATCTTCTGGTCATCGGCCCCCACCTCTGAACCCAAATTTTCCTCAATGCATACCGGTAGAAACCCCAAACTCTAAGCTAGATCGYTCACGACCTGCGAAAAGATGSTCTTTAGTGTCGTATCTACGTGTTTACAAYAAAGAGTGAGCTTATTCACTATTCACTCGTGATTTATGCTCACAACGACTGATTGTGTAAGGAGTGTGTGGTTCAAAATAATATGATAATGATGGCGCGTATCACAATTGCCTTCGTCCTTGTTTGTTTTAGTTCTTCATCTCGTCCTTCATTTTGGATCTATCAATTTTTATTCGTTGCGATGGACATATCAAAGTACATGCTTCACAAAGATGGACCAGAAGGCCCCTATTTCCAATCGGAGTATATCGAAGAGAACAGATGAGAATCGATGAGTCAATTCCCGGGTTCTTTCTGTTTCTTTTTCATTCACCCTTCGCTTTGGCTTCTTTTTTATTCTTGCTTTATTGTGTTCCGGCCTCGGACGTTTAACACAATCCAYCCCCTCTCACCAATATCAAACAGGTCGGTACTAGTAGTTTTTACTCTTTGCCACCCGTGTTGTATTGTATATACACATTCGATTCTCTGACAGTGCAGCGTACGACAGATCCCAGACGGTTGCGGGTTGCTAAAATGTGGTTGTTCTAGGCTGTAATTCTAAAATAAAGATAACGCTTGTATGTGTGGATTAAACATTTCAGAAAAAAACATTACGGTGACAAGCCACGGTGTGTAGCACAGCCGAATTAAGGAGCTTCTGCGGACGAACGGATCCATTTGATTCAATTTGGTTTGTTTCTTCCAGCCACTGCAATTGTTGGCGTGCCATGATGCATGCCACACTAGTCTTGGTGCTGTATGATATTTGCAAATAACAAGGCCAAGACCGCCACAAGCCTCCATCGAATCGAATCCCTACGCAAGGACCACATCCTACTGGTTGACGCCCTCGTGGAGCGACACCATATTGCGCTCGCGCAATCGTTTCTTTCCCGATCTGCGCTGCCTCCTGTGCTTCCCGGGGTATGTGGCACAAACCCTTCCAGAAAATTCGGTAAGGGCGCCTCCAAGGCCTGCTCCGTGTTTGTATGCGCGCTTATGCATGTGCTGCGTTTGGGAGTGGACAACGGCCGGGAGGGGGGGGGACAAGGACCGAGAGCGACCAAGAGACCGGGACCGCAGGTGAGGCTTGGGCTGCTGGCCAAAGCCCAGGTCGAGGAGTTGCTCTCCGAGGTGCTCCAAGTGGCTAAATTTCTCCTCTRTCTTGCTGTTTTTGTCCATCTTAAAGCTGTAGCTTATCTTGAAGCTCTTGTTTCTCTTTTCACTCTTGTTCTTCGCGTGGGGTAAAGAGTAGCTGTTG